TCTGTTTATTTATTAAACAATATATTTATTTTCGTCTCCCGGCCTGAATATTCACGAAATCTTATTAGAGAAAAATATGTGCCCTCCAGTAGGATTTGAACCTGTGTTCTCCTAGAGGAAACCATCATTAGATCTGACATGCTTTGACCTCTTCTCTATAGAGTGTGTTGATGAGCATCCAAAGTTGAATAGTGCCTTTAAACACAAATTTTTCTCTGATTCTTCAAATAGAAAATATCTGCTCAGTTTCTTATCCTCATGTAAAAAAAGCAATTTGTAAAGAAAGAGATGCATTTTTTTAATTTATTAATCTGATTTATCCACTAAAAATAATGAGAAGATTGCATAAGAGTATGTGTGGAAAATAAGTCACAAATGACTCACACTTTCTTTTCAAAATTATTAACATTTTAAGCAAATAATTTACTTAAGTTTGAGCACCTCTTTTATATACATATATATTTTTATCACTTAAAACATTATTTTTAGTGGATGCATGTATTTATATAGACACTCCATTTATTTATTAAACAGCATATTTATTTATTTTTATCTATCAGCCTGCAGATGAATTTAGACAAATTTTGTCAGTAATAAAATCTGTAGGACTAATAAATTTAAAAAAATACCTTTCTTTATACATAAACATTTCATTAAATTGACAGATAAGGAAAATATTATAAGTTTTATTTTAATGTTCTTACAGTTTTCCTTTTGGAAATTGCAGATTGCAGAAACTGTCCATAATATATCATTGTCTCAATTGCTTTTAGCCAATTCATTAGCCAATTTCAGTTGGTCTGCTGTTAATATATTTATTAATGTTTTTGTTCTAAAGAGCACTGTGTAAATGTAATAGTAATCTTGGGCTACATAAGAAGAGGTGGCCATGCTGTGGCATCATAAAAGACCACCAACAGATTCAAACAATTGTTAAATAAAAAGATTTGATAATTTCTAGTTGTCATTGGCAGTCAAATTTCTTTAGGATGATGGTGTTATCAACCATAATTTTTCTAATGATAGCAGGCAATGTAGATTATCAGTTTATGAGATGCAATTAAATTGATATACAATTTTGAACAATTTTAGTTTGGATTTTTTAGGAGTTTTGTTATTACAAAATAATATGTATGATGGATAAATTGTCATCTAATAAATATGTAATAGGTGTGATGGATAAATTGTCATCTAAATTACACAAAAGTGAAAATAACACTGACATCTCACTTTAACAGATATATTTACCAAAATTATACAAAAGTATTCTGAAATACTAAATAATAAATTTTTTCAAGAAAATCTCCATTGGCTTCAATGACAGCCTCTAGAAGACTTCGGAATCTCTTGCAAATCTTCTGAACAGTATTCTTGTTTAAGTTGGTGAATGTTGCCATAATCCTTGCCTTCAGTTCAGCTTTGGTTGTTACAAATAGTTTTGTTGGTCTCTTGCTCAACTGTGCATAATAATCAAGGGTTTTGCAGTCTGAGGAGTTAGGTGGCTAGATGTAAGGGATGATGTGGTCACAGAAATTGTCTGACGGTCATGACTGTGTTCTCCTGCTTTTATGGCATGGTACAGAGTCCTTATGCAAGACATAGGGTCTTCCAGCAACCACCCTTTTGATCCAGAGCAGCACTAACTCCTCAAGGCACTTGATGTAAGCCTCTGTGTTGAGACTGAGGCCCTGTGAGAAGTTGAATGAAGGCATAATGTAATCATCACTCTCCAAACACCTTCATAATCACCATTAGACTCATCCAACTTTTTCCGAATCTTCTGCACTGTCTTCAGATTGACACCCAAACCCTCTGAAATGTTTTTATTGGAGCTTATGGCAGAAATGCTAAGCAATACAACTCAATACAAAGTAGAACAATATTATTTATTTCAGAATATTACATTGAAAACATGTCAAAATTGCTACACAGTTGCAGTTGTGTTTTGATGTGTATCAAATGCATCTCATCAGGTGATTGTAAATTACTGGTGAGTAAATGATTTATTTAGATTTAAAAGCAAAATACATTCACTTTTATGAAAAAAGGTGCGGGTTTTAAAGTTTGTGGGCTTTACTCCTATCAACCAACTGAATTTCACCTACATTAAATTTAAACTAAGCAAGGAAGCAAAAATTAAGAAATTATTTTCCATAAATGGGTTATGACCTGTAAATTGGCAATCAATGGCAGCACAGATGTTAAACAGGAGCAGATGTTAATGGATACATTTTTTACACACTAGACAGTGTCATTTCCTAAGAAAAAATGAGATGGAGCAGTAATTTAACAAAATGTTCAACAAGTTATATGCTTTGTGTGTTTCTGACATAACTTTGTTTGTTTTTATATTATTGATTAGTTATTGTTAATAACATCTTATATAAAGAATCTTTTGTCAAAAGTTGCATATTATTTTACCAAGTAATTCTCTATGTTTAAATTATTTACTGGTTTCTTAAAGAAGTTATTTATTTATCAACTATAAAAATATTTTTTTATGTAGGAAACATGCCACTAGTACACAAGGGGCTACAGAGGGTGTAAGTAAGGGAAAACACTGGGTATGGGGGTGTGAGAAAAGGCTAAAAAGAAGAACAGAGGATAAAAAGCAGAACGAGGATCAAGGCAACAGAAGATGTCGATTGACATTACATTTAATTTTTTAAAGATTATAGTTATCAGGGAAGCAAGTAAGACAAAGAGTGTTCCACTGTCTGGAAATGTGAGAGAAGAATCTGTTGGAGTAGAAGAGGCAATTACATTTAACCAAGATGCCAACCTAGTAGCACACTTAAATCCATGCAGACAAGGCACCAGTGAAAATAGTTTGTCAGATCAGATGCCATGAAAATATTTATAGAAAAGATAAAGGGAAGCCATATTACATTGGTGAGAAAGTGACTGGAGTTGAGATCCCAAGTCAAGACTGATCACATTGCATATCCATCTTCGGATTTTGTTGAGAACCAGATCATATATGGCAACAGTATTCCATGCATGGATGAATGGTAGATTTGTGAAGGATGGACGCAGGCAAGAAAAACCTTCTTGTATGATACAGAGAACCGATTTTCCTTGCAGTAGATGCAGCAATTGATTCAATGTAGTTGTTTCACCTCAGGCCTTTGGAAAACATGAGACCAAGAAGGTGCAATGAGGCGCTCTTGTGGATTTGAGCATCAACCATGCTGATGAGGCAGGGACATTTCTCTATGGTGAGTAAGTGACAGCAGTTTCATTTTGAATACATTAAAATTCACAAGCCATATCCTGCCCCAGTCAACCACAGATTGGAAGTCATTTTCAAGATCAATAGCCAGGTTAACTTTGTCAGCAGTGCTGGATTTGCAATTGTTGTCTGCGTAGATGCCAGCTTGAGAACTGATGATGTCAGGAGGATCATTGATGAAGATCAGAAACAGTGTAGGACCAAGGATAGAACTTTGAGGAACACCAGTGTTCGTATGGAAGTAACTGGAAGAGAACCTGTTCAGGAAAACCTTCATTTCACTGTTAAACAGGAATGATTGTATTAAATCAAATAATCATCCTGTAATATTGTATCTCTTAAGCTTATGTTGAAGGCCAGTATGCCAAACCCTGTCAAATGTCTTCGATATATCTAGAGCAACAGCTCGAGCTTCATCGTTATTATCAAGAGCTTGGTATACATATTCAGTTATGGATGTAAGCACATCAGTCGTAGACCAGGCAAAGCAGAAACCATATTGTTTCTCAGAGATCAGATTGTGGGAGGTGAGTTGCTTAACTACTTCAGCATTGATTATATTGATTGGAGTGATTAGAATGGAGATCAACATGTTTTAGTGGACTCAGCAGATTTCAATCTGCTTGTCTGAATCATCTTCAAGAAGCGAGAGCAAGAACTAAAAAGTCAGCCAATCTAACAGTGATCTCATCTCACAATCCTCACACTTGCTCCATATATGGCCTCCTTTGTAAATCACTAGCGGGTTTTAAATGCCACTTAAGATTATTGCACAAAATTTCATAACTGAATCAACTAAGTTGTCAGATCCTGATCCAAAATCGACAAGAGAGTCCATTATTATATATATATATATATATATATATATATATATATATATATATATATATATATAATAATGGGCTCTCTTGTTGATTTCAGATATATATATATATATATATATATATATATATATATCAGAAAGGGATAGACTTTTTATTTATTAATCTGTCAGATTAATAAGTAAAAAAATCCATCCTCTTTCTTCATAAATTGCTTTGTTTATGTTAGGATAAAAAAACTGAGCAGATATGCCTAAGAGCCAGAGAAAAATCTGTGGTTAGAAGCACTGTTCAATGTTACTTGGTCATTGATACACTTTGTAGCTGATAGGTGAATGCACGTCAGATCTAATGATGATTTCCTCTAGGGGAAATCAGGTTTGAATCCTGTTCGTATTTTTTTATAGATACAAATATTTAAGTAAATGCTCTGTTTATAATAAACATCATTAATGACATTTACCGGCCTGGATGTCCGAGAAATTTTCATAGAAAATATATGTCCTCCAACAAGAATCGAACCTGTATCCTACACAGAACTGTCATATAGCCTGACGTGCTTTACCAATTGAGCCAGAGAGGAGCGTTTTGGTTAGCAATGTTGATTCTACTGTTTTTATATTTATATATATATATATATATATATATATATATATATATATATATATATATATATATATATATATATACACACAGAGAGAGACAATTTTAGAGGTTTTTTATTAAATGTTATTTTTTGTGTGACCGCACCTTGAGATGTTCTCTTTTTTTCTTAAACAGTGAAATTAATAAGAACCAGCCTAAATTGAAAAGTCTTACTAAAAAAAAAGTGTGCCTCCAAGAGGAATCAAGCTTTTTAAACCAAAGTCTGCCTCTACCACTTCAGCCACAGAGCCAGCCTGGTTAGAATTACTTATTTAATGAAACACATTTCTCTCAGGAAGTCTATGAATCCATATTTGCTAAGGTCAGTTCTTACTAATTTGACTGCTTAATAAAAATAAAAAATAAGGATAGTGACTGAAAGTAATTTTCCTGATGGAAAAAAGGGATGCAGATATGATTCCTGACAGAGGCACAATTTATTTTTTTTTAGGACTTCTCACTTTAAATTGGTTAATTTCACTGCTTAATAAAAAAAAAAAAATGGGATAACAACTCAACTCCATTACCTACAATAATGTTTATAGTAATAAGATATAGGTATAGATATAAAAAATGCATACTTATGCTGCAAAATTTCAATGACTCTTTATTTTTTTATTATATTTTTCATAAGTAAATTTGAAATATAGCATTCCTAAAATGCCAGTATTTAATTAATAAAATTTTTCTCTATGACACAATATTAATGTTCTTGATGATTGAAGTATTCAAACAAAAAAGCAATTTCTCCATAAATTTAATCTGGACATATGACAACCTATTTATAAATTGGAAAAACATGAAAAAAAAAAAAAAGAACACACTTTGTCAGTTGAATTTAATAAAACTTGTTTGATATACATTTGATATTATTATATACTGTACCTATGAACACTAATGAGTATGTCCCAATCCTCATAAATATGTTGGAGACTATTGTAAGTAGAGGTAATATGTCGTCTAAGTAGTCCACCACTAGCAGTGGTTTACCTATTCATGCCACTGGTGAGTATTGTATTTTGTTGATGTTATAAAGATTACCATTTCATTTCCAACCTCTATTTTGGTTATTCCTCATTCAGTATCCCTTCTTAAGTTACAACATATATATATATATATATATATATATATATATATATATATATATATAGTTTATGCAAATTTAGGTAATCCGTATGGGTAGACCTGAGGAGGATGATATCCAGAGAGCTCAATGTAAAATTCAGAGCAGATATGTTTGAATAAAAAAAAGACCACGTTAAGATTCCATGTAATAAGCTATTTCACCATAACCCCTTTAACAGGGTTCTGGATCATCAGACTTTACTTCTAAAAAGCTGATGATCCAGAACCCTGTTAAAGGGTTATGGTGAAATAGCTATTACATGGAATCTTAACGTGGTCTATCTTTTATTCAAAATATATATATATATATATATATATATATATATATATTTCTAAAGAATTAATGGATTTATTTTTAATCTAACATTTTTATTACTTCAAATGTTATTTTTAGTGGATATTCATATTTTAAATAGATGCCCTCTATCAGTTTGTGCTTTCAAGAAATCATAATAAAAGAAATGGCACTCTTGCAGGATTCAAACCTGCATTCCCTTTTGTAAGAGAAATGACCATTTGATTTGGCAGAACTTAAACCATTTGGTCACAGAGAGAGAACAATCCAGCAAAGCTCTATTTTTAAGATAAAAAAGGAGCTTCTATTTTAAATATGGGTATCCACTAAAAAAAATATTGGAAGTAATAATATAGTATTTATTAAAAAATTATAACAAACATGTCATGACATCACCATAAAATTGCAATCATCACCATCACTTGACAAGACACTGGAAGTGTTGAAACAAAATAGCTATTTTTGTAGTGATGTTATAACATGTTTATGTTATAATTTTTGAATAAACACTATTTGCTCTACTCTATATTGAGCACTCTTTTAAGAATAGTTATTTTGGTTATTAGAATTTTATTCTGTCTATACAAATCCTATATTTGGATATATATATATATATATATATATATATATATATATATATATATATAGAGAGAGAGAGAGAGAGAGAGAGAGATTATGTATCTGCTGTCACATTTGGTCTGGTGCTCATGCTATATCTTTAGAGATTTTTGATAAAATCCAAAGAAAAATATGCAATGTTACTGGTCCTGAACTGGCAACTCACCTCCAGTCACTTTCTCACAGCTGTAATGTAATGTAATTTCCCCATGCATTTTTTATAAGTATTTTCATGGTAATTGTTCTGATGAACTTTCCTCTATGGTACCTAGACTTTATGAATTTAAGTGCAATACTAGACTGGCGGTAAGGTCGCATCGTTTTACAGTTGAAATGGCTAGATGTAACCATAAGTTCTATGCTAATAATTTCTTCTATCGCACTTCTCACTTGTGGAACTTTTTTCAGGCTTCTTGCTTCCAAGTCAACTTTGATCTTAAAAAATTTAAATGCAATGTCAATTGTTATCTTCTGTTTTCTTAATTCTTATTATTTTATTGCCCTTTCTTCTTAATAGTAGTTTTTCTCATGTTCTCTAGCACTCACTAACCCTTTATATCTTAGTGGCTTTATTGCCTTGCTTGGGGTGAAATGATTAAATAAATAAATGTATATATATATTATATAAGCGAAGGAATCATATTTTTAAACAAAAAATATTTTAATATATATATATATATATATATATATATATATATATATGTGTGTGTGTGTGTGTGTGTGTGTGTATGCATGAGAATAGAATTAAGAATGGATTGAATGTATGCTTAGTGCTCCAAAGATGTGTTTGTGTTGTGTACACACAAACACAAGCACACACACACAGACACACATATATAGGCATAACTTTGATTTAATGGCTTATGGCCACATCATGTTGAAACATCTGTTCCTGTATGAACACTGAAGTTAAGCAATATTAAGTCTGATCATTATCTTGATGGGTGACAGCTTGGGAATACCAGGTGCTGTGAGCTTGGGAGTGTAGGTGGTGTAATGCATAATTTGTTATATTGATAAATTGTTAATCAGAGAGCCAAGTTCCGATTGGCTTTATTATATACACTTACATACACATACACACACACACACACACTACAGTTCAAAAGTTTGAGGCAACCCCTCAATTATTATACTTGGTTAAAAAAAGTGAGACATGGTTTATTTTTTAATAGAAATTTTATTATGGCAGAAGAATAAAAGCATTTTATGATTAAATTCTGCTCTCATTAAAATATCCTCCTTTAGTATTAATTGCTGCAGCAGAAATTTTTGAATTTGTTAAAAAGTTTCTGAACGTATGAGTTCAATAATTGATTCCATTCTTTTTTTCAATAACTCTAAGAGCACTTTTCATTTTTTTTTTCTGCCAAATTCATCCCATGCTAATTCTGGGGATGGCTTCAAACTTTTGTGTATATATATATGCCTGCACATGGCCAAGTGGTTAGAGCATTCACCTTCTGACTTTCCCTTTGGTTCAAATCTCTTTGTCAGCCTGTAGTGGCACCTTTGAAAAGTGTCTGAAAAACATACCATGAGTTGATCCAAGTCATGTATGTGAAATTGGGTGGAAGATGTTGTAATGGAAGAATTATTTGGGAGCCATCAATTGTTGTGCTATCATGAGGGTTTGTGCATACAGGCCTCATTCAGACTGTTGATCATTCCAGATAATGCATTCTCTTCCAGAGACTCAACATAGTTGCAGTATAAACCACAGATGGATTCTGTGGGTCTTGAACAAACACAAATGAGCGAGCATTCAGCCATTACTTTATATATATATATATATATATATATATATATATATATATATATATATGATAAACAAAACTATGTGCAATATCTGATAATTATTTTTTTATATTTTAATACTTTTTCTTATATTGCAATTTTTTAGCCTCTGCCCCATACACACCTTGTAAGTTTTCTCTTGTTCAGTCATGAATATAATTAAATAAGTAATGAAACTAGATTTTTCTGTCAGGAAGTTTGTCAATAACATTTATTTACTAATCCATAGATTTACCAAACAATAGTAATTGAGCCCACACCTATTTATTTTAGGTTGGCCAGTAACACTTTATTCAGCTTGTATGAATAAGACATTCTCATTATTGTTAAAATGTGTGCAGCTTGCATTAACTAAACCAGATATGTTTGTATTTGGAATCAAGCTTAGAAAACAAAGTAAGTCATGGAGAATTTCTTATGTAAATATAAAATATTAACAAATTAGCAAAATCTAATATTCTTTTTTACTAAAGGTTCACCTATCGGCTGGTTCACACACCACCCTGGTCTTTTGAACAAGAGTAGAGATTCAACCCTTGTTTCCTGTTTAGGATTAAGTTTCTTGTTCTTTCTGAAGTCTTCTCATTCTCTTTAACTCCTAGTAACCTCTTGTGGCATTATCACCTTGCATGAATTGAAATGATTAAACAAAATGCAAGGCCCAAGAACCACTCAAAGTAGAGGGTTACTGAATGAATATATGGATGTAGAAGAAGGAAGTATTGATTGATTGACAGTTTTTTATGATTTATCAACCCTTTATGTATTATTTAAAGCCAAAATATATTTTGAGATTGTGAGAATAATACTTTTTTTGTGAGTGAATTTGCAAATTTTTTGACAAAAGCAATGATTTTTTTTAGATGCAAGTCCTACTTTTCAATTCATAGCTGGTGAGAAGAGATTGATTCATACTATTTGATCTTTTTGAATATGATATGGCTGTGAAGGTCTGAATTGGAAGAACAAAAGAATGTAGCTCATCTGAACATTTGCCATGGAAGTTGCAACAGAGTAGCAATAAGCTAGTGATGTTTTGTCTATGGAAAGAGTTGTAGGGTGGAAAATAATTTACCCCTCCACAAAGCTTCATAAATGCTTTTGAACTCTGTCAAGGCTGAAAAGTGAGTATTGCCAGCTCTAGCCCAGATATAGCAGCAATACTCAATTTTTGGGTTGATCTGACATTTGTGAAGATAAAGTATGGCAGGAGGAGTCAGGTACTTTCTGAAGTGATAGAAGGAACCAACGATTTTTCTAGAATCTTTAGTTATGGATCACATATAGAAATTCCACTTGAGATTTGGGGTGAACCTTAGTCAGAATAGATGTTCAAGGTAAGTGAAATTAAATTTCTTTGAAAAATATTACTGATGCAAAAATGGCATTAAACCTAATATTCATTGATTCTACAAACACTAAAAAATTTCAAAATTCCAGCAATAATTTTTCAAAATTAAATATTTATTGTAGATGTTTTCGTTGTCAAATCTGAAATAAAATAATGTTTTATTAAATTATGCAAGAACAAACTCTCCACAAGATATTTTTTGACTTTTATTGAATTATTTTTGTAAGGTTTATGAAAAAATTTTCAAGATGTTCTGAATTAATACTGCATATTTTTCTGCTGAAATTTCATCTTCTGTGATTTTTTCTTATAAAACTATTAACCAAATATTTTTCATCCCAATTCAAAGTGCTCATGATTTATCGAAGGTAATTGACCAAAAAAAATTCATCAAATAGATTATTCAGTATAAAAATTATTCATTAATGAATGAATGCTGAAAATTTCATTTAAATCAGATAATTGCCTGATTTTTGGTAAATTTTTGATTGTAAAATTTAATCTTGGTAAAACATGTATTTTGACAATACATTTAAAATATGAAAAAAATAAACATTTAAATGCTGAACAAAATCTACTTTTTTTTTTACTAATGTTGATTTTCATTTTTCAAATAAAATTGTTCTTCTACTGATACCAGATTACTAATGAAATATGTTGAGCTAAATTTTGAAATGTTCTCTTGTATATTTTCAATTCTGTAAAATTTCATCCAATGAGCATAGAATAAGGCTTGTGCTAGGGGTAGTTTTGCCCAATACCACAAATTGTTACAAAACCAAAACATTAACCTGAAAACATGAGTCATGTTCTTAAATAGTCTAGTCAGATCAAGACTTTCATATGGATGTTATGTGTGGCATCAAACCTATTACAACATCTAAACTGTCAGTTGTATACAACTGATTTCTAAGATCAATGATTAAAAATAGCTTTGAATGAATGAAGCCTATAGGTTTTGGCAAAGAACATCTTTCTTCAAACCTTGTAAACTGGTGCTACAGAATCACAAGAAACTGTAACAAATCACAGAAACCACATCACCTGAGGACTTTCAACAGCCGCAACAACAAAAATGGATAGCACATGTAAATTGAAGAGACAATAATGATATAATCAAGATACTGACGTTCCACACTACTTCAAAAGAAAGGCAAGGAAGGAAACCCCTATTATTATTGGAAAGAATGATAACAACTACTGGACTTGAGAAACCTATTTTCCTGAAAAATAGTTCAAGAAGATTTTATAAATTTCAACCAAAAGTATCACTAGCTAACTGATTAATAAATGCCAAATGTTTCCTTATAAGGAAACTGCTAATGTTATCATTATCATTACGCATTAGAGTCTTAATAATACACTGCCAAGTAAATATTGGTTCTTATTTTTTAAGGAAATTAAAGAAGCCACTTTTTAAGGCTGGAAATCAGAAACATTTACATTTAATTAAGCATTACTTCATATTCATTGATTTCCTATTAACTGTTTTTCTCTTTGTTTTCCCCTCTAAATTGTGTTTAAGCAATCTGTCTCTTTGTTTATTCCTTTTATTTTTAAACTTTGTTTTTTATTTTTTCAAGTGCTCACTCCATCTCTCACTCTCTTTCCTTTACCTATTCTTTTTTTCATTCACTATTTCTTTTCTTTCTTTCTCTTTCCAACTCCCTTTCCTTTTCACATCTCTTTTTTTTTCCTAGCTTGTAAGTCAATCAATTTATACTGTGGGATTACCCCTCCTTATCTACCAATGGACTTTGCTTAATGCCACTAAAGACATTCTATTCACGACTATAAAAGAAATGAACATAAATTTTTTCACTCTCTTTTTTGCTTCTTTACCCACAGGATGAGCTAGGAATTTGAATTTTGTTTTTCAACATATTAAGCTTCCTTACTTTGAAGACTGACACAATACAATCTTAACTCATTTTCTCTAATCTCTTACTGGATTAAGCTAAGCTTTGGAAATGTATGGCTGGTTGGATCCTAGAGTTCTTACTTTGCTGCATGGTAACTTAGCTTCGTAATGCTTTTGTCACACATGGTAGTTATTGCAGTAGTCTAGGAAGGTCAGTTTTGTTTACATGTAGTTGATATGTTTTTTTTTAATCTGTATCACACCAAGGAATGTTAAAATGCAAGGGGTTATAGAGTGTGGAAGAATTAGGAACAGAAACATTAATGAGCAGGTGGGGAAAAGAGTAATCAGGAAGACAGCAGATAGTGATTGAAATTACATTTATATTTTTGCAGATTAAAGTTGGCTAGAAATAATAGAGCTAGAAGGAAGTTCCACAACCAAGAAGTGTGAGAAAAGAAACTGTTAGCATAGAACTTACAGCTACATCTAGAAAACCAAACTGTAAATTGATGAGATCTCAACGCCAGTCTAGAGCTCTGCTGTATACTGGTTTCTCTCAATCATAGTCGTGACTGTTGCTAATATCTGAATGAGGAGGTTGCTACTAAAGTATAAATGCATGTGAAAGCAAATAAGTTATTTCAGGCCTCTGAGTAACGTGCATATTAAACCTTAGTACATTTCACTCTTCATGATAAAACTCAGTTTATACAGTCTGTTGACCAACTAGCCAGTCAAAAGAGAAAAGACTAAAAGAGACTTGGAGTCTGGTATGTCCTCCTTTTATAGTGGGTGTCTGCAGTTAGTAACTTATAATGCTTTTTTTCCTGATTTGTTGATTTTGTTATCAAACTTTCAAGTCCCTTTCTTTTCCAAGGTGTGTCTACAGGTGTGTCTTCAGGCAATTTTTCTTGGCTATATGGTCTTTCTAACACTATAACAGAGTTATTTACTGGTTATGAGTTGGGAAAGGAAAGAGAAGGGAAAAATGTATTTTGAATCTGTGTTATTTGTAATTTTTTATAACTTTTTCCTGTGTTCACTACAAATGTTTATACAGCAAACTCTAAGTTTAATCTGTCCAGTAAGAAAAACTGATCATAAAACTTTGTATAGTATTAATAACCTGAGAGTTAATGTACCTCAACATGAGATGATGGTTAGTGAAGGGTTCTGTTTAATTCTTACTACTAAGTAGGAAGTGATTTCAGTTCTCACTGATTGTGCCAAAACTGAGGTGAGACAGGGTGGGGGAAGAATGGTGATGTCAGTTGTAACTTTCAAGCAGAATGACTACATTGCTTTATCTTAATGTAGTTTTGGGAATTATCTTTAAAAGCTCCAAGTCTCATTTAAAGTGATCTGTTTTTTCTTTATATATATATATATATATATATATATATATATATATATATATATATATTATTTACTTTCAGTTAAAGTTTACTAAGTAAAATTAATGTGAAATTTGACACTGTTACAATTTTATCAATCTTTTACTTGATAAAAAGTGGTTGAGTTTCACAGTTGAACTAAGATTTATAATCAAAATGAGATTTATTTTTGAATATACAATAATTATGAATCCAGACTCAGAAAAATAAGAATTTCTAAATTCCCCTAATGTCTTATTTGAGCTTAACAAAATATTGCAATAAAAACTATAAGTATTGATGCAAATAAAAGAGTATAAATGAAAAGATTAAAAATTAACAAGGTTCTCTATTTCACTTAAGCAAATATTTTGAAAAATTTAATAAATTTTATTGTGGCACCTGATTTTTTTTTTTTGTGCTGCAAGCAGTGACCAAAAATTAGGTCATTTCTTGTAGATTTGAAAACAGTTTTTAGCTTTTGTTTCCTTGCTTAATCATTCAACTTGCAAGTTCTTCATCTTAAAAGTAATGAATGAACAAATGTGACTTCAGGTTTGAAGAATTGTTGATTATATTCAGTGATTTTTCCTGATTTTATTATTTTATTAAATCTCTTTATTTCAACCTGATTTATTGATTATGATGGGGAAAATGTATGTCACCTTTGGACAAGGTTAAGATTTTGTCTTTCGCTTTTCATTATGCAATTCTAAAGGATTATTTCTGCTTTTTTCTCTCTTTTTTTCTCTTATACCTTCTCCTACATTGCCTTTTCTCTCTTCCTCCTTCTCTTATGGCATTTTTTTTAGACAAGGTTGAAGTTTTGTTTTCTCTATATAATGTGGTTCTAGAGGATTTTTCTTTCTCTCTTTTCCTCTATTTCTCTTTCTCACTCTTTTTCTCTCTTTCTCTATCTATCCCTCTATATCTCTCTCTTTCTTTCACTCTCTTTTCCACCACTCTTTTTCTCTATCTCACACTCTTTTCCACCAATCTTTTTCTCTTTCTTTCACCCTCTTTTCCACCACTGTCTTTTTCTCTTTCACCCTCTTTTTCACCACTCTCTTTTTCGCTTCCACTCACTTTTCTATCACTCTCTTTTTCTCTCTCTTTCTTTTTTATGGCTTCAAAAACAATTTTTCCTTTTTCCTAATCTTTATTTGTTTATTTGTCTTTTATTAATAGAATGATGGCTGAAAATGCTGCTTGTGTGAACTCAGGACAGAAAGAGAAATACGATCATGTTTCAGGTTAATATTGATTTACCCAAAATTAAATTTGTAGGTCCCACAAATAGAAAGACTTTGTCTCTTTTTATATTATTTTATTTCTTTTACTTTTCTTTTTTCTTTTCATCTCTACCACTTTCTTTCCCTCTTATTTTTATTTTTCAGTCTGTGCCTGTGAGTTTTTCTCTTTCCCTGAACCTAAACTGAGATGAGGGCATATTGTGCAAATTGAAAAGGTCACATTGTCAAATCAGTTCACCAATAGTATTTTTCTCCTTTTGAAGTTGTTTTGTTTTGTTCTAATTTTACTTTTTGATTTTTACTTCTTTTTCCTACAATATGGATTATATAGAAAGGCATTTTTTAAAGATAATTTGAAGTTTTAAAACAAAACTAATTCTGATATTAATGTCAGATTTATTATTATCAATTTATATTTTCAAACTAATCATTAAAAATAATATTAACAGAATTTCATTTAGTTCATTTTCTATCCATTTTTTCAAATGAATGTTGATTACAAATCTGCTTTGTAACTTGGTACACATTTTGATATAAAAATTTTTCAAATACCAGAATATGACCAACAACAAAATTCTGCCTGTACAAGATTGAATAAACCTCTAAAATGGAAAAAATAAAAATAGAATCATGCATATATATATATATATATATATATATATATATATATATATAGCTCCACATTTCAATATTGGTGGATTGAAGTGTGTATAAAGAAAAATCACATAAAATTCAGTTTGCAGCTAGCTAACAGTAAATAGGGTATCTTTCTCCATAGAAGATTGTATAGTGCAGTGTATATATATATATATATATATATATATATATATATATAGAGAGAGAGAGAGAGAGAGAGAGAGAGAAAAGAAAGAGAGAGAGAGAATAAAAAAAAAAAATAAAGACAGCCTTAAGGGTCCAGAGATTATATTTTATTTCATCAGGAATAGGATTTTTTCCTGGTTCTTCAGGTTACATTTCCTAGCATAAGAAAGATTTATATATATATATATATATATATATATATATATATATATATATTATAATAAAAAAAAAGAACAGTAAGATATATAATCCGGTGTTCTTATTGATATTTTTATTTTTACATAACAGGAGTCAATGTAAATTTACAGACCATAAATATTATAAATTAACCGATTTAAAACCATATTTTAAATCAGTTAATTTATATATATATATATATATATATATATATATATATATATATATATATATATAAAATGTGATGACAAAGATGCTTTTGTATATTTTATGTTTTTATTTAATTGAAATGAGGGAGCACAATAAAGTTTTGGCGGTATATGAATAGACTTTGTAAGTAGTTGACTTTGAATATTTTTGGGAATTGGGCTAAATTTCAAATCCAGTGGATGTTAATGATCTCAGAGTGAGAATCACCAGTACTTTGGTTGTGGCATTGGATATTTTTTTTATTGCTTCTTCTCCATTCTTTTTCCTCCTGAAGAGGTTGGCCTCTCACTCCAGTCAGATGAAGCCTGTTATAAGTGAAAAGGCATGTAGTTGAAAATGCTTTGCCATTTTATCTTATTAGTGTGTTAATAAGAGCATATATGCAAAAATACAAAATGAAGTGTATTAAATAATAACAACAATGATGATAAAAATGGACACATGCAAATTAGGGAGATATTAGCTATAACTATAAGATGATACTACTACTACAACAACTACTACTAATAATGACTATAAAAGTAGTATTATTAATGAAAAAGAAACTAAATAAATATACAATTGATAAACATCTAAATGGATGTAATGGGGGTGATAAGCAAGAAAGAATATTCCCAGTGTGTAATTGCCATTATAGGTATTATTATGTACTAACACCTTAATAGAAAATATTTTTATACCCATATAGGATTTGATATAATATATATTTTTATATATCAAGAAACATTATTGAAAAAATTGTAAGATAAAATGGAAAATGTTTACCTGTAACATGTTTCATCCCTAGGACATCATCGGACTGGGTTTGTTGACATTGTTATAACTACATATGTGCATGAATGAGAGACACTGGTAGTTTCAAAATCTTGAAAGAATTTTTGGAAATAATTTTTGCATATAACAGGGTGATGGTTGCTTCCACAGTTGGTACTTGGGTAGGTTTTGCAGTGAACCATTTCATTCCTGAATCTTTTGTTGATAGTTATGTAGTCAGTTTGATTTTTAGTTTCTCCTCCTGCGTCTCTCTATGTCCATAATTGTCTTGGATATTCTTGGAACCATGTGTTGGCTATTGGACATGCACCATTGCACCCATTTTTCTCCATGCTCCTTGCGGGTTCCTAATCTGAATTTGCTAGCTATTCCCCCTGCCCTCTCCCTGCCTTCTCCCTTCTTACTTTGGCTTTCAGGTCTACTATGATAATTATGACTTTTTGTGATTTACAGTGAGCCTTGGCATTGTCTAGCATGGAGTAGGAAGATTTGATTTCTTCTTCCTTACTTATTGCTGTTGGTGCATACACTATTATGATAGCTTCACTGAAAGACTTTCCTTTCAGCTTGACTACCAGAATTCTTTTGTATAATTGGTAGTATCCCAGAATGCATTTCTTGAATTCTTGATCTAATATCAATCCTACTCCTTTATCATTTTTCTCTCCACCTGTATATATAATCCTGTGGTTGTCATTGACAAAATCTCCATTGTTTGGCCATCTAGATTCACATACATCTAAGATGTTGATTTTTAGCCTACTCATCTTTTACATTTTCTAACTGGCCAGTTGTTCAACATCCTAACATTCCATGCTCTAAGAGTTATTTTTTGTTTGATGCAAGCAGTCACTGGTTAATGGTCTGGTGACATCTGTCACTGTCACTCTTTTCCAGGCAAGGGATAGGTTTCAAGGAATTATATACCCTTTATGCCATTTATGCTAGCAATCACTGGATGACGGTCAGCTGATGCATGTTGCATATGTTGGTCCTTACTGGGCGAGTCGTTAATTCCCATACACTTAATCCCCTTCATGCTGTTAGGTTTTATAATATTGTGTGTTATTTGCCATGATATTTCTTGGTATTAATAGTGGAGTGGTTTCCCGTTTCCTTCTCCATGGTGGTTTATGGTGACTCCGACTCTAGTTAGCTGGCTGTTGACTCATCGAGAGTTCTTTGGTCCTTTGTTGGGTATTATTTTTTGTCCTACTGGCTTGCTAACACTTGCAAGAACATGGAGTAGGGTAGCCAATTTAGTCAGCGACATTCTGACAGTGGTTAGGGGCTCAGATGAAAAAGATTGTGTACCATGAAACTTGTTTTTTTTATTGTGTGTGTGTATGTGTATATATATATATATATATATATATATATATTCTCTGTTCCTCTTGTCTTTGATATGTTCTCTGAGTGTCAGATTCTCCAAGCCTTCTTTCCTTATTATGTCTCTGAGAAATTTCAACTGTCACTTTCTGATTCTAAGTACAAGGGTCCTTTTTGTTTTTACTTTCCTTAATAATTCCTCATTACTCACATAAGTTTGTCTTTTTTTTTTTTATCTCTCCTAAACTCTTTTCTGGCATCCATTTACTCATGTTTGCTAGGTATGTGTTTTCCTCAATCCCTCTTGCCTTCAATCTGTCCTCTGAGTATCAGCTTTTCCAAACCATCTTTTATGTGCCTTAGAAATTTCAACTCTTTCTTCCTAATATTAAGTATAAATGTCCTTTTTGTTTCCATTTTCCCTAAAACATTTTTGTTACTATACATATTCAATCCATAGTATTCTTAACATCCTTCTGTAGAAGCATAATCCTGTTACTTCAAGTCTCTTCTTCATCTATGAGGAGATTGTTCAAAATTCACTGCCATAAATCAATGTTTGTAGTGTAATGATAAAAAAATTATTTTATACAATAAATATTTATTTTTCAATATAATCTCTTTCTTTAATAATGTACTTAGTTCAATGGTAGATTTTGCTACACATAAATTAGGTTAAGACCTATGAACTTATTCATTCTGTTTGTGAAAAGAAATGTTTTTCTCTGGAATGTTTCTCAACTCGACAACCATGTCTCCAGAGAGTTCAATGAGGCGTTGGTTTAATAAGTAGCCTTCTGAGACACTTGTTGGGTGTTGTAAATATAGATTATTACAGTTTAAGTTTGAGAAGAAACAGCATCTCTACTCATAGTCAAATGTTAGCCAGAAAATACCAGATGAAATGAAGAAACAGTGCATTGTGGGTAGATGCTCATGTGACATTTTGCTGGATTGGAATTGGTCGATTTGTGTGTCATTTTTTTCATGATTTTTATACTCCAGTCCCATCTTACAAGATTGTACCTGATTAATAGACATATTATATGAGAAGAAATTAATCGGAACAATTTAATGAAACTCTTGTGTGCCTTGAGAAAGGTGTTGGCTTAATGAACCATTCACAAGATGGTCAGTCTGGGAATAAACTGACTTTTAATGTTTTTTTTTTTTTTCATTGGTGATATTATTTTACTGGAATTAATGTCTGGTTTGCCAATGCTTCTAAATTCAATATTAACTCTTATTGGCTAAATTTATTTTATTAGATCCACTTCTCATATCTGATAAAAAAACATTTTAGAAAGAAGACATGTCTTTAAAAATAATATTATTTCTAGATTAGAGGGCATTCACTTTTGCATAAATACCCTTCTCCCAGCTATAGGTTAAAAAGTAGAGCATTGTTATTCTCAATAAACTCTTAATTAACTCACAAAAAATTAATTATTCTTACAATACAAAATATGTTTTAGCTTTAAATAACCAAAAAAGGGTTGATAAACTGTAAAAAAAAATAATTTAGAGGACAAATGATTTTATTAGGTCTATGCAAAATTTTTCAGTATTTTTTACATCTAAAGTAATTTAAAAAAGAATTTTACTGGATATTTTACTATT